TTCAGCGGTGGGTCTTGCAGAACTTAGCTCCGACCGCATGGACAGTTTCCACGAGCTTGTCATTCATATCGTCCACTGCATTACAGTATTCTAGGCACTGAAAATGGTTTTATAACTCGAACTGAAAGGTTTCGGGACTTTGGATTAGAACACGAAGGGGACAGAGCGTTGGCTTCATTAAACGAGACCTCTCCAACTTAACGTTTAGGTTCAGTGTGCCTTTAACCATTCGTTGATCGCTGCCAGTTTTCACTCTCGCGATCACTGAGACATCGCTGAACAGTTGCCGTCTAGTCATCATAATGAAGTCAATCTCATTTATGTCGAACCGTCGGGGCTCGACCAGGTCCCCTTCCTGTGAGGCCGCTTCTGGAAAAAAGAGTTCATCGTAAAGAGGTCCTCTGTCTCCATGAAGTCGGCCAGCCACTGGCTCCTTGGGTTCCATTGCCCTATTCCGAATTTCCCTACCTTCAGTTCACCGTTCTCTCTTGTGACTTGTTTTGTAGTCGCTCAATAACACCGTAAAGTATACCGGTTTTGTAGGAATGCATGGCTTTAGAGATATCCTCATATATTTCCTCCATCTCCTCATCGGAATGTGCCGAAGTTAGTGCGTAAGCCTGTATGATCTTCAACGAATACTGTTTGGTGATTCTGAGTATAAGGTAAGCAACCCTCGCCCATACAACAAACAAATAAGGTCATAGTTCCGTAGTCACCTCTGAGGACTAAGACAGAATGCATTACAGCCTATTATGATACTGGCTTCTATGCCTTTCAGACCCGAACACTACAGTGCAAGCACTACTATTTAGCGGCTGACATGGGTAAGAGGGTGGTGGAAAACCTATCCAGGCGGACTCAGTGGCAAAAAAGGAGTTCTACTACCTACCATTACAAACAGCAGCTTTTTATAATCACACTGACACCCTATCATCTTATCAGTATTCTCGAACTTATTTTCTTTTTAAAAAAACGTTACCTTCACACACTTATCACATTCACACCCTATCATCTTATCATATTACTTCTAAATCTCTCCAGGTGTTTTTCATTAATCGGAACAAACACATTTTTCTCAATTTCCTGTTTTTGTGCACACTAATAACACACTAGTGTGATAGGTCTTAAGATGAATATGTACAAAACAAAGATCATGTGTAATGTCTATGTAACACCTATTGCGGTGGTTTTTGGGAGCACTAAGCTCGAAGTAGTGGACGAGTATGTTTACCTGGGACAAATAGGCTGACTAGGTAAGTCTTACTTCGACCGAGAGGTTAATCGACGGATTCATTTCGCCTGGGCAGCGCTCTGGAAATTACGCCACATCTTCTCGTCAGGTATACCTCAAAACCTGAAAACGAGATTGTACAACCAGTGCGTGTAAGCACGTGCAGGAATGATAGGATATTTTAATGTCTTTAATAAAAGTAAAAAAAAAACCCTACGTAATTTTTTTGTTTTAAATAAAAATGTTAATTCTTTTAATTGCCGTAGAAAATTAATATGATAAAAACTTCATTTCTTCTTATAAAACTATTAATTTTAATTAAAATTTAAGAAATCTTATAATTTCTTATTATGAATCTTTTTTTACGTGGTAGAGCCATGCTGCAGCTATATTAGTAATACTACTAATACTAACTATACAGTTGTAGCACGAATGGGTCGGCTCGACCGGGGAAGGACCACGTTCTCACAGAATACCAGCGTCAAATAGCAGCTTCATGTTGCTGTGTTTCATATGGTGAGTGTAGAGAACCGGAGACCCTTTTTACTGGAAAAGAGGCATTCTATCTTAGTCCTCACGGGTGACAACGCATCTGCATTTTGATTCGCAAACGAAGATAAAAGTAGATGTCTATGGGCCGCAGCAACCACTTACCATCAGGTGGACTGTGTGCTCGTTTGTAACCCTATCCTACCTTAAATACACGTCGACTTCGATTGTTCATACTTAAAATTAAATTGTCAATGTCTGGTAGCGGTATTAGGTCCCATGTTCTTTGCAAGTGTTCTTAAATAGAATAGAATAGAATATTTTTTTATTCTAAATACATTACATGTATAATTCTTATTGAAAGTCATTTTTTTACTTTACTACTGGTTCGAAATAAACCCTCTGTCCTGGGAAGAACCAGCAAGAAACCCAGCGGGACTTATTTTTTAAAATAAATTTTACAATATAAATGATTACGAACTATTTACAAATTTTATTTTAGAAACTGCTTGGAAGCGACTACCTCATTCCCAGGGATTATTATTAACCATGTATTCATTTATACTATAATAACCCTTTTTATACAGTTTCAGCTTAATGAAACATTTAAACTTGGTAATAGAGAGAGCCTGTACACTTTCCGGGACCTTGTTGTTATAGCGTATACATTACCCCAAGAATGAATTACTGACTCTGTGGAGTCGAAAAACTGGCATCACTAGCTTGTGTTTGTTCCTAGTGTTTACAGAATGTATGTCACTTTTTTACTAAAACTACCTTTGTTTTTGTGAAAATACATTAAATTTTCGTAAATATACTGAGAGACCAAAGTTAATATATTTATTTGTTTAAATTTCTCTCTAAGAGACTCTTTCGGTTTTAGATTGTAAGTTATTGAAGAGAAGAATTGTTGTTCCGTCGTCAAATTTGGCGGGAAATCTCTCAAAACTTTTCTTTGTAACATATCCCAGGCATACTCAATAGGACTTAAGTTGGGCGACTGTGTAGGTCAATCCAAAACTTGAATATCGTGGTTTCGAAGAGCGGCCGACATCAGCCACGCTGAAATGGGAAGGAGCGTTATCGTGCATGAATAGAAATTCCTGGCCCATTTTCATTCTGTGTAGGGTAATAACAGGCTCTACTACTTCTTTGTGGTGTTTTTGTGCAGTCATGTTGCTTTAGATTCAAATGAGCTGGGTTCATCCGACACGAATTCCTGCCCCCACTATTGTCCCGCCTTGCTATGGGTGGAGCTCCTGAGGGTGCCGTAGATGGTTAACCCTCCCTGAAGTTCTCCAAATCCGCGTTCTTCGTGAACCCGGATGAAACCTAAACCTGGACTCATAGGTGAGCAGCACGAATGACCATTGTTTATCACTCCATGGTAAATGCTCCCGAGCTCATGAAAGCCGCCGACCGTGATAACCACGTCGCAATGCTCGAACACGTTGCGGTCTTCGAGCATATAGACCAACTTCATGCAACCTGCTTTACACGGTTTGTTTGCTTACCAGCAGCTCGTGGTCGTCCTGGACCGTTTGTAGTAGTTACATAGCTGTGATATTGGTTGTCTTCCGGTGGTCGTTTGGAGAAATTGATCCTGTCTCTATTAGTAACACAATATCTACCCGGGTACCGTTCAGCCACAACCCCAGTACTGCGATAACGTGAGCACAACCTTGATATCACATTTTGGCTGGTGTGTAGAGTCTCAGCAATGACGCGTTGAATGGCACCATTTTCTAACATGCCCACGGCTCGTAACATTTAATTTCGCCTCAAATGACGACGTGACATGACTTAAACCTCACACGGCACGTTTAATTAAAAAAAAATCTAATCCTTTTTCAGTAATTAATATAAGTAGAACAATTTCAATTTTCCTTGATGTAACGAGTTACTAAAAATTATGCCGCTGTATTTTGTTTTTTTTTCTTATTTATATTTTTAAATTTTAAAAATAGAATAAAAGAGGTTTCAATCTGTATATACTTAAACTTTTTATGGAAACTAAAAAAAATTTAAACTATAAAGTCGTAAACAATGTAGGATTAAGGTATCTCTAGACTCTGTTGATTTGTTTAGATATTATGACGTTTGAATAGTGAGGAATTTTGCACTATCGTGGTAATAAAAAAACATACCAAACTACTGATAAATTTTTCATCGTTTCATCCGTCTTCCTCTCTGTACCTTCAAAATATTAACCATCATTCATTCAATAATTACAACCTAGAATAAAACGTATGAAATAAAAAACGATTAAAAGAGATGTTAATTTAATATTTCTTCCTTACAATACGGATTGCATTTAATTCATTTTGCTATTTACTTAGTATGATTATTTTAAAATGTAAATTTTTCTCTGTTAAAATAAACATTATGCATACCCAGATCATTATCTTAAGCAAAGAAGTAAGGCGAGAGGTCTGCTGTCAGAGTGATTGGTTGTCACACGTGCTTTTTCGTTATCTAGATTATTGATTACTTTTTGGCAATTTTGTGCAAGGCTTTACAATTTTTTTTTGTGTTGATTGTGATTGTTTTGTTCGTATTGTCCTAATTAACCGGTGAGTAGTAGAAATATTAATATAGTGTATGTAGAATAGTGTGGTAATGATGGATGTAGATGGAGGGGAACCAGAACCCCCGGATAAATCTGGAGATTCTGGCGTTGCCAAACGAAAACCCGCGGACCCATTAATTAATAACATTACCAGGAGAAAAAACTGAGCAAGACGTCAACCCATCTTCCTTACGACAAAATGTGTATGTTCACCCTGACTTCCAGGAAAAAAAAGTACGTAGATAGCGATAAAGGACATTTCGTTATCCACTTAACCCGCGCAGAACCTGACCCAGCGGCTGGTTATACCATTAGACCCGTGAAAATAGGTCATATACTTTCACAAAACAAAGTAGCAAATATAGAAAAGCAGGGTATCAAAAATGAAGGCCGCAACAGAGTATCAATTGCATTCAAGACTGCCTCTGATGCTAACAATTTCATTGATTCTCAATTCCTGATACAACATAAACTTGCTGCAACTATTCCCACCTTCAACGTAACTCGTATGGGTGTGGTTAGGGGAATCCCAACTGACATTTCAATGGAGGAATTAGTTGCAGAGTCAGAGCTCCCATCTGGGAGAGGGGAAATTATTAAAGTCAGAAGGCTCTACAGAAAAGTTAAAAAGGGTGATGAAGTGGAGTGGGTTTCAACCCAAACTATTGTCCTCACCTTCTCCGGTCAAGTGCTTCCTTCACATTTATACTGTTTTTATTCATCAATCCCGGTCGAAACCTACCTCCTTCCCACCATTCAATGTATGAAATGCTGTCGTTTTGGACATGTAAAGGCTCAATGCCGATCAAAACCTTGTTGTTATAAATGCACAAAGGAACACACTGGGGAAAACTGCCTTACAGACACACCAACCTGTCTTTACTGCTCTGCCAAACATATGGGAACTGATAAAAGCTGCCCCGAACATTCTCGCCAGAAAGCATTTAAGTTAGTAATGTCACAAAAGAATGTCTCGTATCTGGAGGCTTCTGCTCGCTTTCCAGCCGTCAGAAGACCATATGCGGACGTTGCTTCTTCTCAAGTCTCCATGAGTAACAATTCCTCTACCCAGGCTCCTAGCACTCCCTCCTCTCGCCCTTCTCCCCAATCCTACAGGAAAACCATTCTAAAAGCCAAAACCATTCCAGTGAGATCTACAGTTGGTTATGATAGAATTTCTCATTCCAACATAACAAGAACTCCTACCTCTTCCTCGCCCAATGGACATGCTTTGCAGTCCAATGTTACTCCTAATGACAACCTTTTAGAAAACCTTGTGGCATCCCTTTCGGATATTGTCGGCAAATTTGATGATGTATATCTACCGTTTAACGTGAAAAATAAACTTGACACCCTTTTCTCAAAATTGTACAAAATTCCCATCCCTAAACCTCCTTCAATGGAATTGTCGGAGCATCAGGAACAAGAAATCTGACTTAATTTACTTAATCAACACTTACAATCCTTCAATCCTTGCAATTGCGGAAACCTGGCTCAAGCCAGGCTCTACGTTCTTGAACCCAGGCTTCTCCTGTTATCGTAGTGACCGGAATGATGGTTATCGTGGCACTATGATACTACTAAACAGGACCATTCCTTCCAGTCCTGTCCTTCTTCCTCAAGTACAAGATAACATTAATGCCGTAGCCATTAAAGCTATGGATATAACCATTGTCTCAATTTATGTATCATCCCCCACTCCCTCATGTATCCCTGAAATAAACTTGATCCTATCTAGCATTTCCCCTCCCTACATTATTCTTGGCGACTTTAATAGCCATCACGTAATGTGGGGCCCCCATAAATCGGACTCTTTTTCATACTTACTGCTTGATGTTTTTAATTAATTCAATCTTTGTCTTCTAAATGATGGTTCTCCTACCAGAATGTGTTATCCCTCCCATAATCCTAGATCTGTAGTTGATCTATCATTATGCTCTTCATCCCTGGCTGCCAGTATGTCATTTCAAACACTACCTTCTTGTTTTGGAAGTGACCATTATCCCATCCTGTTAAACCTGTCCAATAGATGTACTCCTCCCAGAAATACAGCTCCTCTTTTAAAATTCAATTTGTCGGATGCCAACTGGGAAGGATTTGCCACAGAATCAGAATGTAGTATTCAGAACTTTCCTACTGTTACATCCCAAAACCTACATTCTGTATATAATCAGTTCATAGCAATATTAAATACTTCAGCCTGCAAAATTTTTCCATTGAAAAACACATCCCCTAAGAAACTATCTTCACCTCCATGGTGGGATTCTGAATGCTCCTCGATCATCAGAAAACGCAAGGCAGCGGAAAGGTTATATTCCTCAAATATGTCAATGGAAAATTTCTTAAGTTACCAAAAAATTGCCGCTGAATCCAAAAAACTTCTTTCGGAAAAGAAAAAAAAGGATGGCTTTCATTTTGTGAGAGTCTATCCCCTCGATCTCCTTCTTCCTTAGTTTGGAAAAATATCAGACGTTTTCGCGGAGCTTTAAATGTCAATAATTCCTCCTGTGCAGATCCTTCAGAATGGCTAAACGACTTCTGTTGCAGACTGGCTCCTCCATGGGTTCCTATGGAGGAAGAGATATTTCCAACCGCAAAACGTTTCCCCTCCCACTCTCCCAGCATCCCAAATAACCTTAATGAACCATTCTCTTTAGAAGAATTAAAGTTAGTGCTCAGCCACCTCAAGGACTCCTCACCTGGCATTGACGGTATTCCCTATTCATTTATGGTTAATATGGGCTCTTCATGTCAACAGATCTTTCTTAACATCATTAATCAGGATTTTACGACAGGTCCTATCCCAGATGACTGGAAAACCCATATTATTATACCCATTTTAAAGCCTGGAAAAGACCCCTCTTCAGCATTAAATTACCGCCCTATTGCTATCTCATCAACCTTATCTAAAGTCATGGAACATCTCGTAAAGAATCGACTGGAGTGGATATTAGAAAATAGGGGCATTCTGTCAAGGACTCAATTTGGTTTTAGAAAAGGTTTTAGCACAATGGATAGCCTTAGTATCTTAGTATCAGACATAAGACTTGCTTTTTCCAAAAATTAGTATCTTGTAGGCGTCTTTGTGGATGTTCGTTCGGCCTACGATGATGTTATTCTTCCGCTGCTCAGGCAGAAAATGCAACAGCTGAACATCCCGGAGGGAATCACAAATTTCGTGTCAAACCTGCTTTCGCAGAGGCGCATATTAGTTCGCTCTGAAGGCAAGCTCACATCACCTAGACCTGTCTGGAAGGGATTACCTCAAGGCTCAGTTCTGAGCCCCTTGTTATACAGCCTTTATACATATGAACTTGATAGATCTGTAAACTACTTAGCTAATGTCCTACAGTATGCTGATGACTTAGTCTTATATGTATCCGACATTTCCTTTGACCAAGCAATCTCCCGTCTATCCCAAGCAGTTAAATTCCTCAACTTTTGGCTTATAGAACATGGTTTGTCCATTTCAGCTAGTAAGAGTAACTCAGTAGTATTTACTAGACGAAGGTTTTCCCCAGATGTGCCTATCCATATTGATGACTCTTATACCTTCTCAGACTCAAGTGAAATTTTTAGGAGTATTTCTAGACAGTAAAATGACAGGTATCCCACATTTATCCTATGTAGCTGCTAAATGTGAAAAAAATTTAAATGTCATCCGATCTCTATCAGGCTTCTGGTGGGGCTCCCATCCTTATTCCCAAAAGCTTTTATATAATGCATTAATAAGAAGCCATTTCGACTATGGTTGTTTTTTACTGGAGCCATGTAGTAAAATGGCTCTTAACATACTGGACAAAATCCAGTCAAAATGTCTCAGAATCATAACAGGAGCAATGAAATCTACTCCTATCCTCGCTCTCCAAGTGGAATGTGTCGAGCCTACTCTTTTTCTCCGAAGACAGTATTTATCAGACAGATTTTTATTTAAAGCTGCCTGTTATTCGCACCATCCTCTCCTATCCAAACTACATTCCCTTAACCAGTTAGTCAAGCGATCCCAATATTGGTCACATAAGGATTTGCCATGCATTATAAAAAGCTATTCCAAACTTGTCAATCTTCCTTCTCCAATCTCCAAGTCACTTAGGAACCCTCTCTACAATATTCCATATGAGGCCCTAATATATAAGCCAGACATATTTTTAAATATTGGCATTTATAAGGACAGCACTGAACCAAATATTAAATTAAACATGATTCTAGCTGAAAAGTGGGTTGACTGGGTGATTATGTTCACAGATGCCTCAAAGGTCAGCGAAAAAGGTTTAGTAGGATCCGCAGTGTGAATACCTAAATATAAAATTATTTTAAATTTTAATTCCCCTTCTGACTCTTCTGTATTCACAGGTGAGTCATTGGCTATATTAGAGGCAGTTTTGTATGCTGAATCTCACAGCCTGAAAAAAACTCTCATATTATCAGATTCCCTTAGCTGCTTACAAAGTATTGCTTCCAGCCCATTTCAATTAAAAGTAAAATACCCATTAATTTTAAATATCAGAGAGTCTCTATTCAAATGTCATAAAAAGGGACTAAGGATTGTCTTGGCGTGGATACCTGCTCACTGTGGGATTCAGGGCAACGAGGTTGCTGATCGGATAGCTAAGGACGCAGCTAAATCTGGATTACTACCCAAACACAATATTTACTCATATGACCTCCTGTCGAAGGCTAACTTAAGTTTACACTCCTCATGGCAAACCATTTGGCATCAGTCAAAACTTATAAAATGTAAAAATTATGCTAATGTCCAAAATAATATCCCCCTAAAACCTTGGTTCTTTAAAACCCGTCACTTTAGTAAAGTGATTACCTCAACTGTTTGCCGTCTCCGATTCGGTCACACCTGCACACCTGTACACCTAGCTAAATTAAGGATTAGGGATACGTCAATCTGTGAATGTGGGTTAGGCGAAGGAACAGTTAACCACCTGTTTTTTGAGTGCCCCAAGGTCTTCTTCTCCTTTTATGATATACTCCCTAACTACATCCCTCGTCCTACTAATTTCTCATACTTACTGTCCCTTGTGTTTACTCCCTTTGTAAATATTTTGTGTGATTATATTAGAACTAATAAAATTAAGTTGTAAGATTACTAACATGGTGATGGTTATAAACTTGTGGCGTCTTTTGTTGTAGATTGTGAAGACCTACACAAACAATAATAACTTGTAACTATTGTAAACACTCTCTTGTCACTCCCATGACTGACTTGACATTGGCAGAATTCTAAAAAGAGGGGCCATAAAACTAAGAAAGAAGAAGAAGAAGAAGTAAAGCTAAAATAAAAAGTGTGTAATGCAATTTATGGGGAGGCCTATGTTCAGCAGTGGACTTTCATAGTTTGTAATGGACGAAACGGATAGCACTGGCAGAAGTATAACCGTAAAAGTCTATTACCAAAAAAACCTTGAATATGACAGATTGACAGACTGCTGTTATATTGTTCGGTGAAATTGACAGCGACAGCGTATTCCACAATCGGTTTTGATTTTAGTACAGTTTTCTGAGATATTTTTAACAATATTGCGGCGTAGATCTCCTTAGACATGCAGCAGCTAACGATATTCATGGTAAGTTAAAATTCCACATTTAATACTCACCGTTAACAGCATTTTTATTGTATATATAACCTAAATCTTATTACCGCAAGGATATCGAAAGCTCCCGTTCATACATCGATGAGCTGTACTCATCGGAACCTTCTAAAACATTAGAGGCGCTAGTTACATTGAAGAACTCAGTGATAGGAAGTAATCGACAGAAGAGTTCCGTTATACAACAGGGTATCGTACCGCGATTGCTACAGCTGATGTCGGATGAAACACTTGATCCCAACATTAGATTAGAAGCTACTATTACTATCGGTAGGTAACTTACATTTATTCTGAGTATGTCACATAATTATCTTATTAACATGTTATTGCTTCTGAATTGCTTATAACATATAAAAGAAATAATTCTTTAAGACATCACTTAGTTGTGTTGACCTTTGATATCAATGTAATTTTTTTTCACTTATCAGTTATATATTAATAAAAGGAACATATTTATTTCCTATTATATTATATAATGTGTTTGTTTTGTGCAATATTGCTTTATATTCACTATGTCTTATAGCTTTTAAACTCGGACCAACAAAGAAAGTAAGATAGAGTGCTGTATACATTTCATGTGATGCAAAAGCCAAGCCATAACTATGCTCAACTTATTGTAAGAACACATACTAGAGATGCTGCGAATACTTGCTATAATTTAGTATTTGGCATTACTTGAAGTTTTTTTCGTTGAATTCCGAATAATAGCTAGTATAGTTCAGCATTTGGTGAATAGTTGTCTAAAATAAACTTTTAAATTAAGAAAAAAAAACAATAGAATTAATTATTATCATTAATATAAAAAGTTTGCCAAAAACCAATCATGTCAAGTTGAAGTTAATTAGTTAGAATTTATAAATAATATTAAAATGAAATGTGCCGTCCAACCAAAAACACAACAAAATCTATTGGGCGGTAAATCCCCTACAGTATTAAACACAGAGTTATACAAAACGAGGTATTCCCTATAAAATCGGTACAAGGAAATGGTTGCCAGCATTTAAAAATGTAAAATATGAGAAACTTAATTGTTTTCTGTTCTCATGACCTTAGAAAATCTTAGAAAAGTGTGATATTGTAATTTGATAACAAATAAATTATTTTTTATGTTTCTTTTTATGCCGAATAATAATGGTGAGTTATTTGTCTATTTGCAATAGAGAATGGCAATTAATCAATATTTGACTATATGCATCTAAAATCATTTACAATCAATAATATAGTTTTAGGTGCATATGTGTCCAAAAATGAACTTTTATGGGCTGATAAAGAAAGAAAGAAGAAAGACATGTGTATGTGCATGTTAAGAAGTTTAGCAAAGTTTTGGCATTACTTGATATGTACGTAGGTCTCAGCTGATGAGCTTTTAAACAAAACTTATTGCTTTTTATTTTTATATAATTTGGTACATTCTAAAATTTGTTTTAATATTGATTTGTGGACAAAAAAATATAAAACGAAATAAGGGATACTTTTCACTTATACATATTATATTTATTTCATTGCATTCTCTTTTAAAGAAATTTAAAGATAGAAAATAACATCTACCTTAAATATTATTTGCATGCCATTAGTAATCTGTGGCTTCGTATAGATTTGTTTAAATGATATTAATTCATTTTGTAAGAGAGTTATATTGTTTTAATATTGACAGGTTCATTAGCTAAAGGTACAGCTGAAAATGTTAGTTCATTGGTGGAACAAGGTGCAGCATCAGCTTTAGTAGAATTATTAAGAACAGTCACATTAGGCACAAAATTGGTGGAAGCGTCATTGTGTGCTTTGAGAAGTATATTCTTACATCCTCCAGCACCTGTTACAGCATTGCCTGTTGATATGAGACTCTTGTCAAGGCTAACACGTAAGTAGTATTTGTTGGATAATAATTCCTTAATTTGCATGCAGGATTATTGAGTCTTATGCTCGACACACAAGGTCAGTTAAATTGATATACATTCAAAAACTGAAAGTGAGTATGAAATCTTAAGTTGAAATTTGAAGCCAGTGAGAGGGGAAATCGTTTTGGCTTACATCCATTTTTATTTTCAACTGATCAGTTTAACTGACCGTATGTGTCGGTCATTAGTTTCCAATGTCTTTAATTTTTAGGTAGTTCAAAGGTACTTTGACCTTCATCTCTGAGCGGTAAGCACTTTATGCATAGTCCTTTTTTAAGATCATGGGGTGGTGATTATCAAGACATATATTGTCAAGGTTACTATTAATACGAGGTTAAAAGTAATAGCTATTATACAAATTATTACAGCACTGATCTAAAATAATTCAAACTACATACACAGATATTTATGGTCATATATATGCATAGATACATGATAAATTCCAATACAAGAAATTAGTCTTAAAATCTTTAAAAAAGATATTTCTTAATAACCAATCACAGCGTGATGAGCTTAGGCCCCCATCCACTGTCGGCATAAGATTTTTTTGTCGTATTCATTTGTAAACTTTATTTAGGTCTGGGAATTGTTTAAAACCGCTACATTCGTCCGGCGATTTGCAGGTATTATTAAAAATTACTCAATAAATACGTGATTAAAATTCAAGATTGCCAAAAGTATATTCTTTGGGAATTTATAAAATATTTTTGGAGAGGTCTGGTAATACTTTATAACCGACAAAAAATTCTGGGTTTATTTTTTGGAATTATATAAAAACTAAATTAAAAAATAAAAAAGAAATCAAGTTGCTACTAAAATATTTTGTTTGGATTTTTTTTTGCAAATGTTATATGCTGCGCAGTAACGAAATAACCGCAAACGCTCTGCCAGACTCGCGGGACTGGATTCGCCAATTGCTGAAATTATATTTTTTCACAATTTTGGCTTGCCCAAAGGACCTCGCCAAAATTCGTCGCCAGCTCTCAGACTATATAAGTCAGAGACGAAGAAAGAATTAAAACAAAACTTTTTTCATTGATTGGGAAGTTGCTTAATTTTAACAGACATTTTGAGAGAATAAGCGTGATCATAGGACAGTACTATAGTAAGTTATTAGTCTGATTTGATGTGAAACTGAAAGCAATGTCTAAGAACAATTTTTACAAAAAAAAAAGGTCTTCCTACACACCGCTACACCAGCTCACTCATTATTTTTAATAACATTCTAATGCCATAATTTTTAGATTAGCGCTTATAAAATATAATTTGTTTTAATTTTTTTCTTATTTTTGTTTCAATATTGACGCGAAGGTAGCTTAATGGCAGAACGCAGACCGTGAACTCTAAAGGTCGTGGTTTCGAATCCCCCATTTGACTACTGTCAAACCTCATTGGCTAGATTATAGCCAAATGTTATTGATTCATGTTAAGCATGTCCTTGCAGCAACTGAGTTTTATGCTAGACATTAGAATGGTCAAGTTTATGTCTTAATTTTGTTTTGTATGAGTAACATTGATGTTTTAATAAGCAAGTTAATATATTTCACGCAGAGATAGCACGCGAAGGTTCACCAACAGCAAGAGCGTGCGTAGTCCGTATCTTGTCGATCTGGTGCGGGGGTCCCGTGGAGCAGGAGGCGCTCTGCGCTGCAGGAGCTTGCGGAGCGGCGGCAGCTTTGTTGGCTTCTCGCACTTCACCGCCGCCCGCCCGTGCTCTCCCCGCACTTGACTTGCTAGCCGCTATGTGTTTTGAGAATACCAGCGTCTCGCAAGTAGCTTTGAATACCAGGTACATTTTTACGATGTATATTTTGATTTCTTCTATTTATGTGAATGTAACACATTTAATAAAATTAATATTTTAAAATTATAAAAAATCAATTTGAAATAAAATTAGAAAAATCTAGACATGCAGGTGTTAAGCAAGCCAGATATGTGTGTATATTTACACAAACCATCTCTAGTTACTTTTGAACCTCCGGTAACTCAAAAATATTAGATTTAGACTTAAGATTTTGAAAACCCAATAAAGAACCATGAATACATATAAACCCAAATTCCACGAATAACCCTATTATAATTTTTGAGCTATTAATTCCTATATAGTATATTACTCACTGCTATATAAATCACTCACTGATTTACCGGCTCACTTATCAGAAAGTTAGACCACTTCTAGGTTATTCAGAAACTTAAAATATGGCATCAACGTAGATTATTAGGAATATACAAAGAAAACATTTGAATACTGTATACAAAATAAAGTTAGTTTTAGTTGGTGCAGTTTGTAACAATTTTGTCGATATTTAATTTTTATATTTTAAATTAAAAATAGAAAACAGTGAAGCGTAAACACAGAAAACAACAAACTTTTTTACGAAAATAAATGGTATGCTATCAAAAATATAAGTTTGAAAAGGGGGCCAAATTCGGTACAAATTTCGGGGTTGTCGACTTCTACGTTAGAAGAGTTGACATTTGATCGGATGCCAAGCTCACGGTACGAAATGGGGTGATGGAATCTCTTCTTACGCTTCTTACACCTCCACCACATGGCAGGCCGATATTATTTCATTTACTATCATTGAGCTCTAACTAAAAATTTGTATTTTCTACTTTCCAATGAGATAATATTAAATGAGAGGAACTCTATTTTGAAAAAGTAATAGATTAAAAAACTCATTGATGTTAGACAAACAAACTTTTAAACGTTAAATGTCAAAATATAAACAAATTTATTTTATTAGTTTCCTTTAACTTCATTTTAATAAGGATCAAATTTTCTCGGAGTTTGTTATAAATATGCCAAAGTATTATTATTATTATCATTACAGCCCATCACAAGCCACTGCTGAACAAAGGTCTCCCCCAAGGAATGCCACAAAGCACGATCCTGAGCCACCTGCATCCATTTACTTCGTGCATGTCTTACCAGATCGTCACTCCATCTAGTGGGGGGATGCTCTTCACTTCGCCTGTCGGTACGAGGCTGCCACTCGAGAACCTTTCTTCCCCATCGGTTGTCAGTTCTTCGAGATATATGGTCGGCCCATTGCCACTACAGCTTACTAATCCGTTGGGCTATGTCGGTTACTCTGGTTCTACTGCGGATATTTTCGTTTTTAAGTCTATCACGCAGAGAAACCCCGAGCACAGCCCTTTCCATAGCTCACTGAGCAATCTAGAGCTTCCTCATATGGCCAGCAGTGAAGGACCACGTCTTATGGCTCACTTTCATCCATAGTTCATCACTGGCAACATGCACTGGTTGAACAATTAAAGTAGTATTATAAGATTATATAATATTATATAGAACACTAACTGGCCAAGCAGATATTGTTCTGCCCTTTCCAACAACCGTTTCTCCTATAAAAAATCTTTAAATTCGTAATGAAAAATATTATCACTTATCGGAACCAACTGCACACAGTATGCCAAATTTCATTGAAATCAGTTCAGTAGTTTAGGAGTTCATTGCGGCGATCAAACAATGTGCCACATATTTTTTACATAAAAAGATGGATATAACATTACTTCTGCACTTTTGATGGAATGGCAGTATATATAACATAGCGGAAATTACCAACTAAATTAACACCCTTAAAACGGCCCACTGTTAGGTACAAGCCTCCTTTTCTTGAGTGGGGGCGGTGAAGTCAGTGTCAGCCGCGCTGCTCTAGTGCTTATTAACGCACTTCACGCGTTCTCGAATGTTCGCTGACTAAGATTTCTGCATTTTAGGCATGGTGACAAAACGATACCCGAACTTCTAACGTTTCTAGTGTCGCGAGATAAGCCTTTGCCGGTGGCTATGGGTGCCGCTAGATGTCTTACTTTCATGCACCGAGCTGGAGCTTTGCCACCCGACGATAACAGGTACGTTATGTACACAACTGACACTTCTTTTCCAATAACATTATAATGTTCTTGCTGATTTATATTTCGGTTGTTACTCAAATCATAAAAGTATTTTATGCAATCCTTGCTATAAATTTTTCATGAATACGTATAAAATTAGTATTATTGGTGTCTTTTGAAAGTTAAGGTCTATATTTAAACACGTTAAACGCAAAATTCTATATAATTCATATTTCATTATTTAAATTTTATTTATTTTTCACAGAGTAGTGTTTGGCGCGTTACCTTGTCTTGCTCGGCTCTGTACCAAAGATATGCCTGAAGACATAAGGGCGACGGCGGCGGAAACCTTGGCGTACTTAGCTGAGGTATTATGAAAATAATACTCCCATTTTATTTTATTCTTTTATTGAATAAGGGTGACAAATTAGCACACAGTTCACCTGATGGTAATTGGATGCTGTGGCCCAAAGACATCTAAATCTATCCTTGATTAAGAATCAAAATGCCTCGTTTCCAGTAAAAAGGGTTTCCTTTTCTCCACAATCACCATACGAAACATATTAGCATTGAGCTGCTATTTTATGCTGGTATTGCTACCTCGGTCGAGCCGATCCATTCGTGCTACAACCATAATATAGCTGCAGCGTGGTTCTACCATGTTAAGACAGTTTGAAACTATATTTTTTAAATAATACTGCAGTTTCTTATTTTAAAACTAGTTGATACCCGCTTTGTTTACACATATCACTGAACACATAGTGCTTATAAAAATAGTTGTTTCTTAAAACTTTAATAACTTTATATTAAATGAAGATGAAGATACCGCAATAATGTTTTTTTTTTAGATAAGAGCTAAGTGTCTAAGAAATAAAACTTAGAAAACTTAATTGAAATCTATCCGGTAGTTTTTCCGTGATGCGCGCACAACTTCAAACCTCTATCATTTTATTTATATAGATTTATGTTATGTTAATTATAATGTATTATGTTTCTTTGGATGAATACCTAAAGAAATTTTAACATCAAGAAAGTAACTAAAAATAAAATAGTAAATCACACCTTCACAGTCACCTCTATTTAATTTACATTAGTATATTGCTTTAGTGTAGATATATGGTATTGTATGTTGTATTGTATTGTAATAGAAAATGGTTCATATTGATTTTATATCACATACAATTGGCTTTAAAATACAGTAGTCAATTTAAGTTTTCTTAGAACAAAATATAAACATTATTATTATTAACGTCCTATTTGGAATTCATTGTGGTGGATTCCATTTTTAGAACAAATTTCAATTTATCTTCATGTTTTGACTATTGAATTCTACTACTACACTAGATTTTAATTCTATTGTTTGCTAATATTGCGTGTAATTATTTTTGGGTGTGCGTGCCTGTGTTAGTGTTCATGTACGAGTGTGAAAATATGGATGCGAAAAATAATTCAAAAAATATAAATGGTAGCTAATAATCCAGCAGTCTCTAGTCTCTAAGCACTCTACAATCTTAAAAAGAACTAACACTCATTTTGTTTTTGTGTTGTTTCCAGGTGGATACATCACTACAAAGGCTAGCGGCTATATCGAATCATTTGATGAGTTCGTTAGCAGATATAGTGAATTGCCCCTCAGCTGCTGCTAAGCAAGGAGCATTCAAATGCTTTGCATCATTAGGGGCTAATGACGAGGACATTAGGAAAAGAATTATAGAGACACACGGCCTCATGGTACACGTTGTCAATGGAATGAATAATCCAGAACCTACTGTAAGTTATGTTTACATTTTACATTTATAAAGGTGTTGTTAATTATTACATCATGTAGTCTGATTTTGGAATATTTATTTTACAGGTAAGATTAGCGGCCGTAAGATGTTTGCACTCGCTGTCAAGATCCGTTCAGCAGTTACGAACTACATTTCAGGTAACTATAATTATACAGGCTTTTTTCTCAAAGAGTAGCCAAATTTTAAACTTAAGTTCAAATGATGAGATGATATACCGTTATAGCAGTTTTTCAAAATACGAGTAAATAAGGCTTCTAGTTTTATTTGAAATTATTCCAAATTTAATGTGATTTTTGTCTAGCGATGGACCCTTACGAATGTGCGCGTGCGCAGTAAAATCGGTTAAGTTATGCATTACCAGGTATTTTGAATTTAAAAGATAAAGAGGACGGAATGTTTGTTGGGAATTTTTAATTAATTCTTCTTCACCATTTGCCTATGTTACTTAATAATTACGCAAAATAACCCTGTTTAACTAGCATCGATTATAAGGAAATTTGTGTATTATAGAAATTGTTGCTATTAACAGCATTAGAATTTAATAAAAATGTGTTAGATTGAAAGAAAAAATCTTAAGGATTTTAATTACTAGTTTTGAGTTCCTTACAGAAACTATAGACATGGTTAGATTAAAAAAAATGGTGTATCAATTACGCTAAAGAATTTATGTATATTTTATGTTATACTATATAGTACCTGTCCCTGTTCAACAAGTAAATTAGAAATTTAAAACTATCTTCTTATTTTTTATGGTTATTTTTATATTTTATTAATGCGAATTTTAAATTAGTTTTACTGCTGACCCGAGATTAAAGTACACCTATTTATATAGTGAAGATCGATTCAGCAATTTAATAATATTTGTGATTGTGAGTAGGACCACGCAGTTTGGAAACCGCTTATGCAACTACTAAACGACTCGCCCGGCACGGAGTTACTTACAGTTGGATCTTCTACTCTCTGCAATCTGCTATTAGAATTCTCACCAGCTAAGGAGCCAATGTTAGATCAAGGTAATTTGTAAAACCATAGGCATTGGATGATTTTATTTTATTTTATTTTATTTACCTCTCGTTCTGAAAATACCTTACTCCTAGGAAGATCTAATAAGAAAACCAGCGGATTTTTTTAAGTACAAATGTACTATACAAGTAATTCGGAGACTGAGCGCTCAAATAAAATTTCATAGTAGAAAGAGAAATCTCCAATTTAATTGTCGATTTACCATGTGAAAGTAAAGTACAGCTTATATACGTTCCACTACTGGGCACAGGCTTCTTCTCATTTCTAAGAGGGTTTGGATTTGTCATTTAGGGGCAGGATGTGTCCGCCTTGCTAGGCCAATGCGTGCTGTCGGACTTCGTGTTTTCGAAATATTTTTTAAAAATAAAATATACATAAACACTCACGCCAATCAGAGGAGGGTAGGCAGAGATTAAGGACTTCCATTTAGCACGATCGTGATATACCTCTCTCGCCTCCTTTACATACATATATCTATGCATACATGCTTGTCGGTTAAGTGTACACTTAATCTAGTCCAACTTCAATATGTCGCCAAATTGGTCGATAAACTTTCGTCTAGGGCATCCTGTCTCGACTCACTTTTGTTACATAAATTTACTTTGTAACTCTTTCCTCATTCATTCTTTCTACATGACCAATCACCGAAGCATTCCTTTCTTAATGCTGGTCCCAACATCATCTTGCAAACCACACTTTTCTCTTATCACACAATTTCTCACATCACACAATTTCTCACCCAGTCATTCAGATTCAGGTTCTATATTTAAATTTATTTTAAATCTCAAAAATGCAGATGACACGATGTTTACCGCTGAACACGTGGTAAATCTGTTATCAATTAATTGGTGCCAGCTAGGATCGAACTGGCTGCTCGCGTACTTTGAAATTCACAACAAGCATTTACCATGACCCTTACCACATGCTTGGCGGAAAACACATGTGCAGTTTGCCAACACGCATTGGGTTGGCGAGGACTAGTCCCTGCTCCTCCCGGAAATGCATGGATTCACGAGCCTAGTTGGGCGTAGTACAAATGCTATCGTTTACCCACCCCTGAGACAGGATATACGTATTTTTTTTTATAGGATAAGGGTGATAAACGAGCACACAGTCCACCTGATGGTAAGTGGTTGCTGCGGCCCATAGACGTCTACATTTATCCTCAATTAAGAATAAAAATGCAGATGCGTTGTCACCCCTGAGGACTAAGATGGAAAGCCTCGTTTGCAGTAAAAAGGGTCTCCGGTTCTCTACACTCACCATACGAAACACATGAACATTGAGCTGCTATTTTACGCTGGTATTCTGTGAGAGCGTGATCATACTCTGGTCGAGCCGACCCATTGGTGCTTCAACCACAATATAGGTGCAGCATGGCTCTACCACGTAAGGCCTGGTGTGCTGCTACATTGCTGTGTTCCTGTCGAAAGGACATGGGGAACCAGAATTATTAGAGTCTATGAGGCATTCTATTTTAGTGTTTAGATTCAACAACGCGTCTGTAATCTTCTTCGTTTGAAGTTGGCTGCAGGTGTCCATGAACTGCAGTAGCCACTTACCATCAGGTGGACTGTTATTTGTTTGTTACTTTAGTTTAATAAAGCGCCGTACGCGCCTCATTTACTGATGGCCTCGCACATTGGAACACACGCGCCGTACGCAAATCTTTTGTATTGCCGACAGCTTTTGCAGTTTTTTCCAACCACTGGTGTGAAACGGTAAAATAACATTGATCGCTCGGAATCGCTCGGATCGCTATAGAAAAAAAAAATTGTAATAGCCTGCTTATTGGCATAGGAAGAAGACAATAAAATTCGAAGAAAAAGAAGATTGTGGATTCATAATATTCATTTAAAAAGGCAGTTGTATGGAGAATATTATATTTATTTCTAGGCTTATTAGATGATGATGCACGATTTTTCAGCTATTTGCTACACATACTCAAACCTATATAAAATATATTTCGAAATGAAAAACAACAATGAGTATCAGCACGCGCCGAACTTGCCGCGTTATATGACATCATCAGCATGCCTCCTTCAATATTCGGTTACCTACCGCATTTTATATAATACGGCTGCAATGTGCAAGGTTTCACATATGATTTCATACAACGAATTCTAAAATGCGGCGCGTACGGTGCTGATAAATGTGCGTTCAGCTTTAACGTTGGTAAACGTCATTTTTTGTCATTATTTGTAATTGTTTCTTTTTATAGGTGCAGTAGAAATGTTATGCAATTTAACAAAGAGGCCGGAAGCTGCTCTAAGGCTAAACGGAATATGGGCTTTAATGAATATGGCTTTTCAGGTAAAGATTTTGTTTAAGAGGTTTGTACAAAAGTACAGACTTAATAAGTAAAAAAGAACTTAATAGGTATCTAAGATTAAAAATAATTCAGGAGAATTTTATTTTTAATTCTAATTTTTAAACTTTTATAAATTAAACATAAAATATCCTACTTATAAGAATCTGTTTATCACAGCATTTCCTTCAATTATAATTTCAAAACGCATTGTACATTAATTTAATAATAAGGTTAAAGTTTTCGCTGCTTCTTTTCACAACAACAAAGTGCTTTAACATTAAATGACAATTTTTCTGATGTCTGCATGTTATTCTTTGATAGAACATGTCATAGAGATTTTTTTTTGATACGACTCTCTACACTTTACACTTCTTTTTGCAGTTGCTATTCCTGGATCAAACATCTATTTCATCATCATCATCATCATTACAGCCCTTCACAAGTCCACTGCTGAACATAGGCCTCCCCCAAAGAATGCCACAAAGCACGGTCCTGAGCCACCTGCATCCATCGACTTCCTGCATATCTTACCAGGTCGTCACTCCATCTAGTGGGGGGACGCCCTACACTTCGCCTGCCGGTACGAGGCTGCCACTCGAGAACCTTTCTTCCCCATCGGTTGTCGGTTCTTCGAGCTATATGGCCGGCCCATTGCCACTTCAGCTTACTATTTCTATAACTAAACATCTATTTACATAGTATTTATTAATTTTAGGCGGAACAAAAAGTAAAACAACGAATACTGTCATGCCTGGGTACTGAGCAAATGTTTCGCTTGCTGGGCGACAGTGACACGCGAGTGATCATGAAAACTCTTGGATTGTTAAGGAATTTATTATCAACGAGGCAACATATAGACGCAATAATGAGCGAATACTCATCGCAAGTTATGCAGGTTAGTGTGCAATGTTCAAAAATATTTTTTTTAACTCTTTTACACATTTTTTTATTTTTTTTGGAATTTTTCATTTTACAGCGTCATAATTTTCCAGCATTGGTACATAAATTTAATACAGTTTGCTATGCAATCCCTGATAGATCAAGTTAAAAGTGCCCTAGATCCAGCCCCATTAGACATCCTTATTATATAATAAGTGTATAGAAAGTTTTTAACGTGGTGGAGCCATGCTGCAGATTTATTACGTCTGAAGCACGAATGCGTCGGCTCGACCGGGGAAGGTCCACGCTCTCACAGAATAACATCGTAAAATAGCAGCTCAGCTCAGCGTTTCCTATGGTGAGTGTAGGGAACGGGAGACCCTTTTTACGATACGAAGCATTCCACCTAAGTCCTCAGGGGTTACAACGCATTCGCATTTCGATTTTTAATGGAGGATAAGTTGTTTTACCACATGATCTGCGGTGAAGGAAAAAGCTTTTGAAAAAAAATGGTTGCTTGAGAAATAAGAAAAAATAAATTGAGGAAATTCAAACGCCAACGCGGCTTGTGGACGAGGACGAATCATCATTGCTCTAAAACTCGCAGAAAGACATCTTTCTGATAGTAAAACTGTCATCTTTCTGAGAGTAAAACTCTCAGAAAGATGTCTTCTCTCTCTGAGCAAAGCCAGCATTTAGACATATTATGTAGGTTGTTAATTTACTTTTTACTTGTAATTTATCGTTATCATTTTTTATTTTTTCAGGCCGTGATTGTGGTTCTAGAAGGATCGTATCCAGCTGAAGTGAAGGAACAAGCTCTTTGTATATTAGGCAATATTGGAGATGGAGAGAAAGCAAAAGATCTCATAATGGCAAATGAAGATGTTTTGAGAAAGTTGGTGGATTATTTGGTAAGTGTCCTCTAAATTTGTTATAAGATTTGCAGAGAAATGTAAAATATTATGTGGTTATTGATGTGTTATACACTATACGTTCGGAAAGCAATTAATTAATTAATTTATTTATTTAGAAAACCAACAGCTCTTGTGAATATACAATGTAATAATTTATAAATGGTTATAACAGCCAATGATCAATTAATAACATATATGTTAGTGTAATTTGAGATGAATATAAACTCGTTTTTATTATTAAGATATAAAGAATTATCGCTCGTAAGTGACTCCGTAAATATTGCTTACTTTTGACGGTACTTATAGAAATAATTTGTCTCGAACAAAACAAATTATATAAGTAATGGTCTATAGTAGTTTGGGAATGTGGGTTATGAACATGATTAGAGCAATAAAGTGTTATCTGAGTAACATTTAGTAATAAACGGGGTACACAAATATTTCTGACAGATGTAATAATAACTAAAATTACTGTCAGACCTAGTCGTACTATGAAATAATGTACATAATTTAGAAAAGTAATTTCATTTAGGAAAAGTGTATGGATATTATATATAATGTTATAAAATCCTATATATTTTGTATATAAAGCATTAATTTTCAACCAATACTGGGAAATATGAATCGTTTCTTTTAAACTTGAGCGTAGAATTTTAACCAAACAGAACGTTTGTTTTTGTTTAACGCATTTTACTTCAAAACATGTATTAAAAGAAAGCACTTGAGCATATACAATATTAAAAGAATATGACCTTCGCATCATCATCATCATCATCATCATTACAGCCCTTCACAAGTCCACTGCTGAACATAGGCCTCCCCCAAAGAATGCCACAAAGCACGGTCCTGAGCCACCTGCATCCATCGACTTCCTGCAAATCTTACCAGGTCGTCACTCCATCTAGTGGGGGGACGCCCTACACTTCGCCTGCCGGTACGAGGCTGCCACTCGAGAACCTTTCTTCCCCATCGGGTGTCGGTTCTTCGAGCTATATGGCCGGCCCATTGCCACTTCAGCTTACTAATCCGTTGGGCTATGTCGGTCACTCTGGTTCTACTGCGGATATCCTCATTTCTGAGTTTATCACGCAGAGAAACTCCGAGCATAGCCCTCTCCATAGCTCGCTGAGCAACCTTGAGCTTCCTCATCCGGCCAGCAGTGAAGGACCACGTCTCAGTTCCGTATGTCATCACTGGCAACACGCACTGGGTGTACAGTCTCGTTTTCAAGTTTTGAGGTATACCTTCGCATATAAGATGATAATTGTGTACGAATACAGAAGAGTATGAAAGGTATTTCACTCAAACTTGAAGTTATAATTTTAATCGTGCAGATCGATTTTAGTTTAACAGTGTTCGAACACATATAACATAATGCATTTCAGACTTACGTAAATAGCGCCAATATCTTAAATTATCACATGTTTTATCATTATCATATGTTATCGCAAGTAATTGGTAAACAACATTTGTCGTAATGGAATAAATAATATTATGGCGTTATTATTATTAAGTTTTCGTAAGTAGTAACGTAATTTTATTAGAATGTTCACAGATATAGTATATAATTCGAACGAATACACAATCATTATCCATCTTATTCGTAAGGGAACGAATGAATAAGTTTTAATTAATTTCAATAATTTCATAATAATTTTCAAACTAAAAAATGATCACAGACACATTATATTTTTACGGATATATAACTCATATAAAAGGTGACGTAAGTGTAAGATAATGTTGAAAATACAAAAGTATATTAAATCGGTAATTAGTTGCAAACTTAAGCCCACAATATTTAGATTATAAAACTTTAACTGTATTAAAGTAACTATCTTTATTTTTAAATAAAAATTCCTATTAGCATAATTAGAAAGACTTGAGGTAATAAATATTATGATAACGAAATTTAGAAATATTTTTTTGTGTCTAATGCGATAGTTATGGCGTTTAGTAGAATTGGTAATTAGCAAATAAGTTATTATAAGTAAACCAAATAGAAATAATATGGTGTTATTGTTTAGTGTGAGAGTGGGGAGTGTTATATTAAACGTTAATATTAATATAAAATAGAATATATAATATAACAATACTAGTTTTTTGTATCTAATGCAATAATTATTTTGCTTAGTGTGATTGATAAGTAGTAAATAATTTATTATAAGCAAAAAAGAATAATAAAATAATATTTTTGTGTGTATAATGTGGTTGTTTAGTATAGGAGTGAAAAGTGTTATATAAATCATTAACATTAAAGTAAAACAGAATAAATGAAATAACAATACGTTAAACCTAGGGCCGCAGAATCGTAGAGAGATGAGCAGTCTTTTAATTCTTGCAAGATCTTCTTTGTTCACCACAATCTTCGGCGACTTGTCGTTTTTTCGTACAAACATTTTACAGTTTCTTATCCATATGTATTTGTAAGAACTTGTTTTTACCAATTCACGGCACTTATTATATAATATTTTATTTTCAATCGTTAGATGTTCATTTAAATATATTCTTTGATTACCCTGCATGCCTATATTGTTGCGGGTGATACCACGAACGCGTGGAATACCAGCTAGTATTTTTTTTATAGGATAAGGGTGACAAACGAGCACACAGTCCACCTGATGATAAGTGGTTGCTGTGGCCCATAGACATCTACATTTATCCTCGATTACGAATCAAAATGCAGATGCGTTGTCACCCGTATACTATACCAGACCAACTATACCAGAAATATAGCTGCAGCATGGCTCTACCACGTCTAATAGTATATTGTCTTTTGCTAATTTGTTTTTCATTTTTGCAATTATTGCTCGTGTAATTCCAGGTCTTATAACTTTTGCTTGTATTCTATTTGCGAATTCAATGTCGCATGACGTGATGACCACACCTGCATGTTTTGCTACAGGAATAACAATATCGACAGTGTTCTCGTTGCATGTCTCCGGTACCCCCACGATTTCAAGATTATACAGCCTTTCCCATTGTTGACGTTTCTTAAGGTCCAAAGTAAGATTGGTGTATTTAAGTTTAAGCTCACTGAGTTCCATCCCATATTGTTTATTCTTTTGGGATTGTTGATCTATACTTAATAATCTGGTATTCAAGTTATCTTGGCGCTTACTCGAGTAATTGACTGAACTTTCAATGTCATTGAGTTTTTTTCTCATTTCCGATATCGATTCCGTATTAGAGGCACTTTTATTGGATATGGTTTTTATATTAGTTTTTAAATTTTCCAGATCCGAAGATAATTTGGTGAATTTTTCGGAAAGTACAGAATTAACTGTGGGAATTATAGTTTGTGTGACGTTTTCCATCATTTCTTTTTGCCATTTCTTGAAAAAACATTCAAGGTCTGAGACTGTTACGCTGTTCTCCAGAGACGTTTCCTCGATTTCATGCTGACTTCTTTTACGGACGATTGACGGATCGAAATATTCAAAACTTGACAAATCAGGAACTGAACTGGTTGTAGAAGAATGTGGAGGAGTTCTCTGCGTTTCAATGCGGGTATCTAACATTAGTTTAGAAGCGCGCTCTGCCTCTGCTATATGGCAGGTAGATATTATATAGGTATGCAGCGCGCGTGCGGCGTCCCTTTCACTCAACTCACCCGATGATAAACCGAGCGTAGTTATGACCGACCAACTGCGCACACCTTTTATTATAGAATTATGTAGGAGTGAAACTTGTAGACGTGTGACTCGCACGAAGACACACAGCGTCACAGTTCTCACGATTGCCAGCATTTTATTCCTAAGTTCTTTTTCTTTAACGCAGGACTCGAGATCAATTACGGTTGACTGTTATGCCGAAAGAGAAAAGATCTTATGATTATCGTAATAAAGTTTTGTTTTGCTTCTACTATTTTTAACACACTCTTTACATCACTTGTTACAATCATTAGATTTCTCACGGATCATTCTTGGTAGGAATCAGTTTTCTTTTACAAGATTTTTGTAGTCTATCAAGTCTTTTGTAATGGCGGGAGCAATCTTGAGTGTTTATTGACTACATACTTCTTGGTGAGTAGGTGTTTCACGTTAGATATACAGGGTTATTTTTCAATGACTAGCCAAATTTAAAAATTAAGTTCAAAATATAAATACTGATGTACACTTTTTGCAGTTTCTAAAAATACGCGTAAATAAGGTTATACATTTATTTGAAATTATCCGAAATTGAATTTGATTTATGAACAACAACTACAGCGTACGCGCGCTTGTGTGTATAAGAGTCAATGCATGGAGCTTTTGCCTACTATTTACTTCCTTAATGACACGATCGCTACTAAGTTGGTAACTACGCGACGCGAATTATGATTCAAATTTTCCCTTCATATTTTAAATGGGCTTAGGACCGTCACATTAAATATTTTTTTTTACATTTCAACGACGTAACCGATGACTTACTTGATTATGGTGTATTTAAAAAATTGCAATCAAGTTACAACTAAAACGATTAACTATTTACAACAACGAACTATTTACATGTTTTTGCTCGAAAAACTCGATCACTGCATTTTCGACAGCCGGGCTTATTACTGAATGACCACTTCGAGCACTTTCATGTGACAGAGTGGTGGTAACAGCCTTTGGTTTGCTGTCAAAATTGTACTCCGATTGGGTAGTACACGTGCGTTATTTCCTTGTCTCTGCAAACGCGGTAAAAACTCACTTTTGTATAATCTTTGCGCACCATGTAAACTTTCATTGCCTAAAATGTAACACCATACCATTTCGTAGCATTCCCGGTACGAATATTCCCGTGGCGTCACTGTTAATGAAGTGACAAGTAATACTACCTACGAAAATTTAAAAATAGCATACTTGTACGTAATGAGCGTGTATGACAGCGAGAAGTCTCTTAACCGTCCATATTTCTTACTTCTTCGAGGTTGTTCTTGAGGCCATATATGAAGATTTGCGATTTCCCATCGCTTGACTCACAAGATGATCCATGACTTTACCTTTTTGAAACACCATGACATTTTTATAACCGGCTAGTAACATGTTCAAAATTATTTAAACCTTTTCATATTCCAATTGTTATTCAGCAGAAAAGAAATCAAACCCGCCCGTTTATTTTGCAAATGAGTGTATATCGACTTAATGAAAAAAAAGAGATATAAGATCTGAATTAGACAGGCGGTGCTGTATTTGACATAAAAATTATATTGAAATTGAAATTATAAGAATATTAAAATCCACTGTTGAACATAGGCATCTCCCATAGATTGCCTCATAACCATAGTTGGTGGTTACCCTTGTAGGCAGGTTGGCAATCGCAGTTTTTTACTTTTTAGTTGCTATTAGAAAGACACTGCTGACCATAACCATTTTTTTCTCTCTATAGCTTCTTACAATACCCACGGGACGATATTGGTATCGGATACTCTAACATCGGAGTAAAAATTTCGGGTCAGCTAGTTTGTAATAAATCTAATTCAGTAAAAATTACCTCGCGTACATCAGTCACATAGGTAATTTTTACCAACTTTAATATAATGGATTTCCGCAAAGTAACGCCTGATTCTATTAAAAATCGAATTCAATCAAAATGGCAAGTGTTTTCTCCGTTCGGGAAGTTTAAAATGGCAAGTGTTTTCTCCGTTCGGGAAGTTCTTTTGTGCCTCAGAATAGATTAAATCTAAATCGGTACAAGTGGTAAAATTAAAAATATTGTACAATTGACTTCAATATAAATTATTAAGGATAACTCAAAAACTACTAGTCAGATCATGATCAAATTTATATGGGACCACCTGGGAAGTGTACTCTTTGAAACAAAAAAAGAATTTACCAAATCGGTTCAGGCGTCTTCGAGTAATCGGTGAACATAAATAAAAAAGATTCCGATGAATTGAGACCCTCCTCCTTTTTGAAGTCAGTTGAAAATAAGGAATCATGATTGATTTATATAACAATGGTAGGCGCATCCGGAGAGCAAGCTGCAGGAGGCGGCGCTGTTCGTGGCGAACAATCTGGTGTGGCGCGGCGAGGCGGGCGCGGCCGCGCGCCAGGCGCGTCTCGCCGAGCTGGGCGTGCTGCGCGCGCTCAAGCTGCTCTACGCGCGCCAGGACGCCGCGCACCTGCACGACAAGTACGTACGCACACACACACATGCACATATGCCCGCCGAGCTGGGCGTGCTGCGCGCGCTCAAGCTGCTCTACGCGCGCCAGGACGCCGCGCACCTGCACGACAAGTACGTACGCACACACACACATGCACATATGCCCGCCGAGCTGGGCGTGCTGCGCGCGCTCAAGCTGCTCTACGCGCGCCAGGACGCCGCGCACCTGCACGACAAGTACGTACGCACACACACACATGCACATATGCCCGCCGAGCTGGGCGTGCTGCGCGCGCTCAAGCTGCTCTACGCGCGCCAGGACGCCGCGCACCTGCACGACAAGTACGTACGCACACACACACATGCACATATGCCCGCCGAGCTGGGCGTGCTGCGCGCGCTCAAGCTGCTCTACGCGCGCCAGGACGCCGCGCACCTGCACGACAAGTACGTACGCACACACACACATGCACATATGCCCGCCGAGCTGGGCGTGCTGCGCGCGCTCAAGCTGCTCTACGCGCGCCAGGACGCCGCGCACCTGCACGACAAGTACGTACGCACACACACACATGCACATATGCCCGCCGAGCTGGGCGTGCTGCGCGCGCTCAAGCTGCTCTACGCGCGCCAGGACGCCGCGCACCTGCACGACAAGTACGTACGCACACACACACATGCACATATGCCCGCCGAGCTGGGCGTGCTGCGCGCGCTCAAGCTGCTCTACGCGCGCCAGGACGCCGCGCACCTGCACGACAAGTACGTACGCACACACACACATGCACATATGCCCGCCGAGCTGGGCGTGCTGCGCGCGCTCAAGCTGCTCTACGCGCGCCAGGACGCCGCGCACCTGCACGACAAGTACGTACGCACACACACACATGCACATATGCCCGCCGAGCTGGGCGTGCTGCGCGCGCTCAAGCTGCTCTACGCGCGCCAGGACGCCGCGCACCTGCACGACAAGTACGTACGCACACACACACATGCACATATGCCCGCCGAGCTGGGCGTGCTGCGCGCGCTCAAGCTGCTCTACGCGCGCCAGGACGCCGCGCACCTGCACGACAAGTACGTACGCACACACACACATGCACATATGCCCGCCGAGCTGGGCGTGCTGCGCGCGCTCAAGCTGCTCTACGCGCGCCAGGACGCCGCGCACCTGCACGACAAGTACGTACGCACACACACACATGCACATATGCCCGCCGAGCTGGGCGTGCTGCGCGCGCTCAAGCTGCTCTACGCGCGCCAGGACGCCGCGCACCTGCACGACAAGTACGTACGCACACACACACATGCACATATGCCCGCCGAGCTGGGCGTGCTGCGCGCGCTCAAGCTGCTCTACGCGCGCCAGGACGCCGCGCACCTGCACGACAAGTACGTACGCACACACACACATGCACATATGCCCGCCGAGCTGGGCGTGCTGCGCGCGCTCAAGCTGCTCTACGCGCGCCAGGACGCCGCGCACCTGCACGACAAGTACGTACGCACACACACACATGCACATATGCCCGCCGAGCTGGGCGTGCTGCGCGCGCTCAAGCTGCTCTACGCGCGCCAGGACGCCGCGCACCTGCACGACAAGTACGTACGCACACACACACATGCACATATGCCCGCCGAGCTGGGCGTGCTGCGCGCGCTCAAGCTGCTCTACGCGCGCCAGGACGCCGCGCACCTGCACGACAAGTACGTACGCACACACACACATGCACATATGCCCGCCGAGCTGGGCGTGCTGCGCGCGCTCAAGCTGCTCTACGCGCGCCAGGACGCCGCGCACCTGCACGACAAGTACGTACGCACACACACACATGCACATATGCCCGCCGAGCTGGGCGTGCTGCGCGCGCTCAAGCTGCTCTACGCGCGCCAGGACGCCGCGCACCTGCACGACAAGTACGTACGCACACACACACATGCACATATGCCCGCCGAGCTGGGCGTGCTGCGCGCGCTCAAGCTGCTCTACGCGCGCCAGGACGCCGCGCACCTGCACGACAAGTACGTACGCACACACACACATGCACATATGCCCGCCGAGCTGGGCGTGCTGCGCGCGCTCAAGCTGCTCTACGCGCGCCAGGACGCCGCGCACCTGCACGACAAGTACGTACGCACACACACACATGCACATATGCCCGCCGAGCTGGGCGTGCTGCGCGCGCTCAAGCTGCTCTACGCGCGCCAGGACGCCGCGCACCTGCACGACAAGTACGTACGCACACACACACATGCACATATGCCCGCCGAGCTGGGCGTGCTGCGCGCGCTCAAGCTGCTCTACGCGCGCCAGGACGCCGCGCACCTGCACGACAAGTACGTACGCACACACACACATGCACATATGCCCGCCGAGCTGGGCGTGCTGCGCGCGCTCAAGCTGCTCTACGCGCGCCAGGACGCCGCGCACCTGCACGACAAGTACGTACGCACACACACACATGCACATATGCCCGCCGAGCTGGGCGTGCTGCGCGCGCTCAAGCTGCTCTACGCGCGCCAGGACGCCGCGCACCTGCACGACAAGTACGTACGCACACACACACATGCACATATGCCCGCCGAGCTGGGCGTGCTGCGCGCGCTCAAGCTGCTCTACGCGCGCCAGGACGCCGCGCACCTGCACGACAAGTACGTACGCACACACACACATGCACATATGCCCGCCGAGCTGGGCGTGCTGCGCGCGCTCAAGCTGCTCTACGCGCGCCAGGACGCCGCGCACCTGCACGACAAGTACGTACGCACACACACACATGCACATATGCCCGCCGAGCTGGGCGTGCTGCGCGCGCTCAAGCTGCTCTACGCGCGCCAGGACGCCGCGCACCTGCACGACAAGTACGTACGCACACACACACATGCACATATGCCCGCCGAGCTGGGCGTGCTGCGCGCGCTCAAGCTGCTCTACGCGCGCCAGGACGCCGCGCACCTGCACGACAAGTACGTACGCACACACACACATGCACATATGCCCGCCGAGCTGGGCGTGCTGCGCGCGCTCAAGCTGCTCTACGCGCGCCAGGACGCCGCGCACCTGCACGACAAGTACGTACGCACACACACACATGCACATATGCCCGCCGAGCTGGGCGTGCTGCGCGCGCTCAAGCTGCTCTACGCGCGCCAGGACGCCGCGCACCTGCACGACAAGTACGTACGCACACACACACATGCACATATGCCCGCCGAGCTGGGCGTGCTGCGCGCGCTCAAGCTGCTCTACGCGCGCCAGGACGCCGCGCACCTGCACGACAAGTACGTACGCACACACACACATGCACATATGCCCGCCGAGCTGGGCGTGCTGCGCGCGCTCAAGCTGCTCTACGCGCGCCAGGACGCCGCGCACCTGCACGACAAGTACGTACGCACACACACACATGCACATATGCCCGCCGAGCTGGGCGTGCTGCGCGCGCTCAAGCTGCTCTACGCGCGCCAGGACGCCGCGCACCTGCACGACAAGTACGTACGCACACACACACATGCACATATGCCCGCCGAGCTGGGCGTGCTGCGCGCGCTCAAGCTGCTCTACGCGCGCCAGGACGCCGCGCACCTGCACGACAAGTACGTACGCACACACACACATGCACATATGCCCGCCGAGCTGGGCGTGCTGCGCGCGCTCAAGCTGCTCTACGCGCGCCAGGACGCCGCGCACCTGCACGACAAGTACGTACGCACACACACACATGCACATATGCCCGCCGAGCTGGGCGTGCTGCGCGCGCTCAAGCTGCTCTACGCGCGCCAGGACGCCGCGCACCTGCACGACAAGTACGTACGCACACACACACATGCACATATGCCCGCCGAGCTGGGCGTGCTGCGCGCGCTCAAGCTGCTCTACGCGCGCCAGGACGCCGCGCACCTGCACGACAAGTACGTACGCACACACACACATGCACATATGCCCGCCGAGCTGGGCGTGCTGCGCGCGCTCAAGCTGCTCTACGCGCGCCAGGACGCCGCGCACCTGCACGACAAGTACATACGCACACACGCAAGCACGTATGCGTTCACGCACGCGTTACGCAAACTGTCAAATATTTTTAAGTAAGTTTCGGAGTCCTGGTCTGCATGTACACCTGCTAACAAAACTCATATAATTAACAAAACTGTAGACGTTGCAGGTAAGAATCATACAATATTTGAAAGTAATATGGCAATCTTTTTTGTTCTTGTAATTAAAACATCATTGTTATTAAAAGTGACTGCCATTTCGTTAGTCTTAGTATTTAGTACATTCTCTCTTACATACCACTAATTTTAACATAATTAGTTATTTATCAGTCTAGGGTAATTTAGGAACAGTTACATATTTTATCAATAATACATTTCTCAAAGTTATGTCAAAATAATTTAATGAAAATTTTCATTAAAATTATCTAAACTTCGCTTTGAATTAAAATGTTTTGCACTCCTGCTTCTACGAGCCTCTTCTTTTCTAATGCTATAATAAATGAAGTATAGACGGGCAAACGAAATCTTCACCAAAATGTTGAGCAAAATCGTTTGCTTTTTGTTGAAGAATTGGTCCATTTATTGGCACATTATTTGTCCTTTGATATTGAAATAAAGCTTCCCCGTATGATTCGTTTTTCTTGCTCGTTTCATTCATACACGATTCACAGCGCGGCAGGGAAGCAGGGCGGTCAGAATCACCCGGTTGCCCTCTTTAGGGACCCTGACTCCCTGTTTCTTAGTACACTACCCTGTCCCTGCGGGCAGGGTCCGAGAAATCACCTAATAGGCCTTTTACTTTTGCGATCCTAATAGCCATGACTATTCAAAATGCATTTAGAATACACCTCGTCGTTCTAACATATACAATTCTCCGAAAATATTAGTTAAATAAAGTCGCTTAATGAAGTATGTTGTATAAAACAGAGTTTTTTATAAGGCGATGCATTCAGCCGGGAACTATATATCTAACCGTTATGTTGTTCTAAACGATGTCGTCGTGTATTTATTTAACTTTTAATTAATAGATATTGATAATACAAACAATAATAGACATATCATGTCAAAGTATGTATAATTTAATTAAAATTAGTTTTTGAGATTGGATGTAGTTAATTTACGATCGACCCTTTTAATATTATACATAACGACGACGTTTATTTCGGCGACGATTTCACCTTATTTGCAAATTATACTTAAAAATTAAAATAAAGTAAATGTTTATTTTCAGAGTGACGACAGCCCTGGCACAGTTCAGTGAGTTCACATAATATAATCGCGCAAGAACGCATTGTTAACAAAACTCAAAGTGAAGTGAAAGTGAAGTGTTTTAAAAATAATTGCATCGCTTATGAACCAATCTACAGACAGTGAGTTATCGAGTCATAACTGTTATTTTATTAATAGTTCTACTTGACGCTAATTTTATTGTACATAGCTAAGTTTGCAACTGTTTGTTATCTGAGAAATGTTATTGAATTATTTATTTTAACTTATCGTGTTGGCTTTGTAAGTCATACTGGGTTCAATTGTTTACATAAAAAGTCCTATAGACTTATCAGCTTTTTAACATCGATAAATGGCAGATAACTGCTGAAATAAGTATCAGAATTTAATTTTTATTTGGTTTTCTCTCCATCTCTCTCTATCTCTCGCTATATAATGGAGTGAAATGTTTTAATTCTGTTATTTTTAATAATTTGTGTTTCATGTAAACAAGCTTGTTATCATTATCATTTATTCCATTTCAGTAACTGATGAATGAAATCAATGTTGCCAACAACAGTGGTGCTAACATAAAATAATCGTGCATTACATTTTTATGATCTGGCACTAATTAATTATTTTATTATTCAATTTTGTTACCAACTTATTTTAATGTTATATTGAAACCATTTTTGACAATACATTTTCTTAAACATGTAATAATCCATAATCTGAATTTAATAAATTGTTTATACAAATACATGGGTGCATTATATTCATGAGATAATTCTACTAATTTAGAGAATTTTATAGAAAAATAATCTTCATTATGAGGGAGTTGCAAATTCATAATGTAAGTTTTTGTACTCTTGTATATTAATTGCGACATACGTAAATTTAAGAAATAAAAATTACAAAAATCTATTGCATTACAGATAATATGGAGGGTAGAGGTAACCCTCCATAGTAAATTAGAAGAAAAATTTTTCTTTAATTTATTGTCGCATTGGCTACATACAAACATGTCTATTGTCTTTTGATAGTGCTGCATATTTGACATTTTTGATAAAAATTAAATTGTTAATGTCAGTTATGAATTACAAGAAACATTTCAATATAATAATATTCACATTATAATAATGTTTAATAGTTAAAAAAAACCTTCCACCAATCATCAACATATAATAATAATATTAATAAATGCTATATTTCTTCAAAATTACAAACTTAAACAATATATCAACATGTATTTATGACCTGTAGTTACCTGATAACTAACCTAACCTAAATATAGCATAGAATATGTATATCTATCCTCGTCCTGACCAAGCTAATAAGAACCTGTTTGGTAGTTCTGCCTGCTGTCCTCTACAAAGGACAAAATCTTACAAGTGCTTCCTGCCCAGAACAAATAGAACAAAAAAGGTCTTGCATAAGATGAATCTTTTTTATATTTTTTATGGCAATAAACAGGCCATAATGAAACGATTCACGCTATTTTTAATTCAATATTTTTTGTTCCTTTAACAGGACATTAGGCAGAATTACCAAAATCAGCTGTATTTTATTTGTCCTTCTTAGAGGACATTGGGTACAATTAGGTAAATAAAAAAAGGGTTTTATGTTATCTATAAGGTATTATTAATCAGTCTCACTAGCACATGAGTGCTGCCTCCGCCTTCAGACTTCATTATACTACTCTGTTCGAATTTGACAGCACAAAATCCCTTCAAATCTGTAGGGTGCGGTTTTTCTGAACAGTACTGCCTAATTCCGCAGATCCCAGTGAATGTAATGATTATTTCTTTTTCTTTCATTTACGCAAATATATTGATTTTTGTCTTGTAGACGACAACCTTTCTGGACATCATCAATTAGCGGTCTCATTTCTCTTTGGCTTTTTCTTCAGGTGTGACATCGTCATCAGACAAATTTCAACGAGTTTCGTAATCGTCGGAATCTATTACGTGACATGTTATCAGCTACAACTGAAATCCGCTATCTTTTCGACCAGTACCACGAAGGATTGCTATTATCAAACATAAAGCCATTTACATTTTCAGTTTAGATAATGTTAGATTTAAACTGTTATAAATCTAATAACATTTCAATTCGTCTTCTCGACACATATGGTTAATATTTCATCGTCAAAGTATTGTCTATAATAGTCCATCTTGGAAAAAGATTCTGTATTAATGGGCAGGTATGATGGTTCTGTTAGAAGAGGTTGAATCGGGAAAAATTCTTGTTGAGACCAGTCTTCGTATGCTGTTGATAGTATATTATTATCTATTCTGCAGCCAGCTTCTTGACTGGCCACGAGAAGCCCCCCGCGTGCCTCGCCTAGTCCTTCCGCGAGCCTATATAAATTTATACTTACTTCAGGTTCATTACTTTCTTCCTCCGTAGAACTAATACGGCTTTTTGTTTGTACGAATTCTGGATCTTCGTAATGTTCGTCGGAAGGTATGAAGTCCCCAATGCTGAATATTATAACAAATTGCCGATGTCTTCATCGTCTGTTTCTGCGAAAAAATCTCAATTTACCAAAAAGTTCTGGCCAATTTGATTCAAAATATACTTATAAAAATATATAATATTACGTTTCTTAAAAATAAAATTATTGACGAAATTTAAAAATAATTATAAAACTCATTATACTGATTATTTAACTTGAATCCTGTTTATTTTTAATAAAGAAAAGCTACTGATCTAAATGATAGTAATTGATTAAATATACCTTTTCTCCGACGTGACTCCATTTTCACACGTGAATGGCATCTGACGTTATTCTTTTGTTTATTACCAGAATAAATTTAAGGTTATAATCCAACCAATCACAAGAAACTTCAAAAACTGCAGCTGAGTAGAACATACAAATTCTAGGAGCGACATTTTAAAATGTGATTTTTGAAGGACAGTGGGCAGAATTTTGAACTTTACAATTTACAAGACTATCGTGGGTACCTCTGCTGGGCACAGACTTTCACTCATTTCTGAGTGGGTAATATGATCCACAGTTCATTGCGTGTTGGCGGACTTCAAATGGCCGAAATATTTTTTAAAATGTGTTTATATGTTTATGGTAGGAATTTTACCACAAATTTTGACCAGTTTTGACTAGTTAAAACCAGAATAATGTAATCTCGGTCGTCATTACCTACAGCCCTTCACTAGTCCACTGCTAACCATAGGCGTTCCTTAAAGAACGCCACAAAACACATATAGTAAGCGCCTACGACGACTGATTGTTTGAAAAGTTAGACTATGGTATTAGCATGTACAATATACTATTATTTAGAAATGGGATGTCTAATTCAAATAAGTACCTAAAGTTATTATGTACAATTTTATTGAAATGTTATTCTGTAAAAATCATTATTTAGCGAAATTTATTTATTAATATGTCCTAATACGTAAATAAGGTACGTGTGGGTAATATGGTCACCTTAAGCTTTGCCGCCCTATAAAACCAAAACTAGGAGGAGGACAGAGACAAAAACACTAAGTCGTATACTATAATATATAAAGAAAAATATAGCAAACAAGCTTTGCCAATAACTAGAAACACTTCTAAAGTTAAACTAAAAACTAAAACTAACTAAAAATACTTAAGTAAAACTAACTACACTACACAATACTAAATTTGACTAAAATATTTACGAAAGTGTCAACTGTACAAATGGCGCCTGTAAAGTAGCGCCATTTTGACCTTTTATTATTTGATTGACTGATGAAGAGCGATCGTATCACAGAGTCATATATGTCAACAAGGTTGTAGTTTTTGATTTATAAGAAAGTAACCATATTAACCGGATGACCATATTACCCTCACATACTATATTTAATTAAGAAAGTGATAGTGAATTATAGTCGAAGATATCTACAATGTTATCAGATCACTCAAAAATATTTAAATGTCAAATTTAAGTAGGTATTGTTTTTTATCAAAACTTCTAAGGATCTATTGAAAATCACGTACGTTCCCGTAACGTTTGCTTTCAAATTGTCCTGACATGTATATGGTTATTGTTATTATTGTCATGATGCATTATCATTCATTTATAAATTCATTCACTTACAGCTTATCAAAAGGCCACTGCTGAATATAGGTCACCGAAAAATTGCTTCATATAGGCGATATTTACCATAGTCAGCGGTAGAGCCATGGTGCAGCTACATTGTGGTTGCAGCACAAATGGGCCGGCTCGACCGCGGAAGGATCACGCTCTCACAGAATACCAGCGTAAAGTAGCAGCTTAATGCTGCTGCGTTTCGTATGGTGAGTGTAGAGAACCGGAGATCCTTTCTACTGGAATCGAGGCATTCCATCTCGGTCCTTAGGGGTGGCAACGCTTCTGCATTTTGATTCAAATTGAGGACAAATGTCTATGGGCCACAGCAACAACTTAACATCAGGTGGACTGTGTGCTCGTTTGTAAACCGCAGTCTATAGCTGATAATGTTGCTGGCCATCTCTTGTTTTATTTCACTCTGTCGCCTCTTACTACGTACACGGGAGATATGGGTAGTGGATTCTCTTATGCCGCCATTACACGGCGAATCATTATCATGTATCGGCATTGTCATAAATAATGCTATTTATTCATAACCAGGCGCTGAAATCAAAGGAAAAAAGTGATTTGGTGAACGTTATATCTGACTATAGGGTTTTTGACGCTACCCCACGCCGGTTCATGTGTACCGAAAATCTCTATATATAAAAATCAATTGCTGTCCGTTAGTCTCGCTAAAACTCGAACCTTGCTGCTCGATCGTTACTGATGAAATTTTTTGTGTGTATTTGAGATGAGACTAAACCGACCTGGGATTCCCTGGATTGTTTAGATTCACAATTGGACCCCGTAGGTGGCGCTGTTGTCAAGATATAGAAATGACCCGTGCAAAGCCGGGGAGGATCCCTAGTATGTAATAAATGCGAGATATATGTATGCTCAAATGCAAAATGACATTTAGAGAATGTAATGTTAATTTTTTTAACATTAGATTTTTTGGCATTTTGAGAACACATTTTGTGATATTATGTTTTTCAAACTTTATATAC